CACATATTGGAGTTTGTTAAATAGTATCTTAGAGCTGGTGACCGCTAATGGAGATTAAACCGTAATGGAGATATAATGAAGACAAATTATGGCGATCAAAACTTCATTCATTATGGAGTGGAGAATACATATCTGGAGCATTTCAAGGATAGAAACATATAAGGTGCTCGATGTGCCATGAATTGGGGACATCGAGTCCGTGCAAGTTGCATAGCCGTTAAGACCCTGGTCGGGTAACCTCTTTGACCACGTAGGGCCCTTCCCAAGGGGAGTAGAGCTTGTGCATCCCTTCAGTTTTATGCTTTCTATGGAGAACGAGGTCGCCGACAGCAAATGAACGACCTTTGATGTTGCGGTTGTAGTATCTCCGCAAGCCTTTTAGATATTTGGTTGTGCGGACGTAGGTGATCAGGCGTTCTTCCTCAGCCCTGTCGATGTCCTCTGTCCGAACAGCTGTGGCTTGCTCTTCATTATAATGTTCCACTCTAGGTGCTCGGAAGGCAATGTCCGCTGGTAGTATGGCTTCTGAGCCGTAGACCAAGAAATATGGAGACACACCAGTGCTGCGACTTGCTTGAGTGTGCAGTCCCCAGACCACAGCTGGTAGCTCTTTGAGCCATCTGCCCGGATGCTTTTCTTCTTTCTGATATAGCCTCTTTTTGAGGGCATCAAGAATCATGTCGTTCGCCCGTTCGACCTGGCCGTTGGCTCTAGGATGGGCAACAGAAACGTATTTGATGGAGATGCATCGGTCTTCGTAGAAGTCCCAAAAATGATGACCAGTAAATGTAGTTCCGAGGTCGGTGATAATACTGTTCGGGAGACCGAATCTGTGGATGATATCTTCGAATAGCTCGACTACCTTCTTTGCAGTAGCTGAAACAAGCGGTTTGTATTCGATTCACTTGGAGAACTTGTCGATGGCTACGTACACATATCGGAAACCACCTGGCACTGGCTTGAAAGACCCAATCTTGTCCAGTCCCCTGCATGGAAAAGGCCAGGAAGCTGGGTGATCCGGCACGACTTGTCTACAGTCTAGCAGTGTAGTAAGAACTGTAAGATGAAAGATGGTAAAATGATTCTGATTGCTTACCACATGCTTGAAAGTAGCACATGTGCTTACATAGAATGGTTAGTTAATAAACTATTGCTGACTGCTAATAAAATTGGATATAAGGACGCACACTTTGTAATGCTTCCTGCAGGTGCAATAAACCCACAAGCCAGATAGCCTTGCATATCCTTGAAGTCTTTTCTTTCCTCCTATTAGGTAAATCTTGCTGAGTATAATTGAGTACTCAGGGTTTTATTTCCCTCTATTACGGGTGACAGGTGGATGCTAGAGCTAAATCTTGGGTGTGGATTCCTCCTATTGGGCTCAGAGAGGATTCCTTTACGCTGCGATCATAGTTTTTATTTATAACTCTCGCTAAATATTTTATAAATAGAAATTTTATAATCTATTATCATAGTTTATATATCAAAGCTTTATCATGTCATGAATAGATATTTATTTCCTTTGTAACTCTGATCACATGCTTATATTCCGCTGTTAAATTAAATTATTCATAACTCTGATAACATGGGTATATTCCGCTGTTATAATCCATAAATATTATACTCTGATGCTACATAGAAAGTGATGTAAGAAATGATTTAAGAATATTGTAAGCTTTATTCTCTCATTTATGATCCTGATGAAAAAGTTTGGATTTTCGGGTTCTCCGTTGGGGTGTGCTCGATTGAACTACATAATCTAGTGTCTTTCTTTGAGTACTTAGTGTCTAATAGAAGATAAGTACTCTTGGGAGGCATTAGATTAGACGGTTTTGCCACATGCTGGGGCTCCGGAGGACGTTGGGGACGGAGACGCGGGCGTAGACGCGGAGGCGATGACGTACTGTTTTACGCCGCCGCCGTGGGCGATTGCGCGAGCTGCAAATGCGGCACCTTGTGGGGACGTTTGCGGCCAATGGTTTTCTTCCTCATCTTTGCTACGAGATTTGGAAATAATGGTTGCAGATTCATCATGAGCGGGCCTAATTAAATAGGACCAAGTCGCCTTTCTAGGAATCTCATCTGCCGCCTCAATTAAAAAAGGAATTAAATCTTCACCACGCGCACTCATGGGGAACTGAGCCGACGTAGCGCTTCAACTGACAGACGACGCGCGTCCCCTGGCTTGCGTATGACGCGGGATTGACAAAACAAGATGACCTGGGGATGGCACTAGAACAAGCTCATCTCCCAACAGCGCACCTCTCTCGACCTGGCCAACATCGGGTCTTAAGCGACTGGCAATTTTGGGTGGCGTCTAACCACCCGGATTGCAAGCCACCCAACTAAGACAATCTCGACTACATACCGACGCTCGAGTCGCGTTTGACAGACAAGCTTGGGGGCTTATGTCGATGCCATACCCCCGGTATCCCGACTTCTGTATTGCCGACTACCGACTCCGGATCAAAGACGACTCGAAGGCCCACGACGACCCTATTCAAGGAATGATATCTTCGGATGGCGCCAGGACTCCGACCAGGGCACGACTCCTTAGCTTGTAGGGAAACTTGATCCCGGATATAAATAGCTAGCAATTTTCCCTGTTGTAATCATCGGCTCTTTCATAGGCCTCGCCACATTGTAATCGCAATCTCGTCGAATACAAGCAATACAAACAAGTAGCAACTGGACGTAGGGCTTTTACCCGCTTCCCGGGGGCACCGAACCAGTATAAATCTCGTCTTCATCTGTGATTGTTCTTCGCACCAAGCGAGGTTCCCAAGAACCAAATATCCGTCAATAAAAAACACCGACATATTTAATTAAATTAAATAAATTCTAGGGCTAAATTAGATGCTAGGTGCAATAAAATGATGAACTGATTATAGTTGGTGTCCAAAACTGTAAACGCGATAGCTATGGTTGCGGTTACTAGTAACTGCCATGGTTATGGTTGTAGTTACTAGTAACCCCATGTTTATGATAGCTGTTACTAGTGATTGATGGACGCTTCATGACATCAAGGTTTATCCTCAACACTTTATCTTCCACCTTCAGCATTTATAAGGAGCGCTGGTCTCGAGCCACGTGTACGAGACACAGGACACAACACCTCTTCTCACTGTTGAGTTGCTCCACGGCTTTCCCGTTCTGATCCTCTGCGTGCACGACGGATTGGAAGAGTAGGCCTCCGGAACCACACCTGCGTCTATGTCACCTGCTCAGGTTTTTGGGGAACGTCTAACGCGATTGCTCGTTGTCGATCCGATCAACGACTTCATCTTCTTCCTGATGGATATTCGAGACACTACACTGCGAACATCATCCTACATCGACTATGATCCACGACATTAAGCAAGGCACAATGTCGACTAGTGCGCATGAAGCCACCCGTACCTTGAGTATGGGTCTCTCCGCTAGGTATATTTCTAATCTTACTGTTTCTATATTTAGTAAGGTTTTTGTGCTATTAAACATAATTAATATGTCCATCATAGTTTCCACAAGTAGTTCACACATACACATGTTCGTTGTCACGAATTTACTACTTTTTTAGATTATATCTATATTTAAATTTAAAATGTCTAAATTTCTAACAGATCCATCACATATTGCTACTATTATCTTGCCATTTTTATTTCTCTCACGCGAACGCGAGCTTCTCCTTGAGTGTTCATTGGGTCCTGCCGCTGCAAGCTTCCAGACAAGAACAAGTGCCGTGCTCCGGCTGTGCCTTCGCGCGTAGCCTTGGCGCATGGAGTGCGCCGCCCGATCCATCCTCGTCGACTGCCGCTACGCCGAGCGCGGGTGCACGGAGAAGATGGCCTACTACGACGAGGGCGAGCACGCGAAGGTATTGCCGCACGTGGCGTGCCTCTGCCTCGTGAACGTGAAGCCGGCCGCACGGCCGCCTGGCACGCCGTCTCCTTCGTTTTTTTTTTTTTTGACAAGCGGTCTCCTTCGTTGGCGTTGCGCCCTACCTTAAGGTCACCTGCGTTCTTCGTTCCGCCGAAGCAAGCACGATTTTTGGCGGCGTCGGCATCACAGGGACAACCGACGCGTAGCGCGCAGGAGGGGGACGGGCGAGCGCGAACACGGGATCCAGGAAACGATGCTGGCCTTCCCCAACTCTCAGCGTTCCGACCTCGATATTCTCGTAGACATGGTTTCTTCTCAAAAAATGGTTTTCTCATTTTTTTTCTCCTCTTCAATAAATTGTTTGCCACATCAACAAATTGATTAGGTCGCTGTAATTAAAAACTATAGAAACTAGTGTAGTTTTTGCATTGTGGGTGTTCTAATTCGATCAAATAAAAAAGTACCATTTATACCTTATAATATACTTCTTCCGTCTTAAAATAAACACACATCCCGCTCGAGGAGTCAAACTTTTTAAAGTTTAAGGGGCAGTTCGGCTGGTACAAAAACCAGCCGAATTTTACTATGCGCGGATGAAATTCACTGTTTACTCTATCACAAATTCCTCTAAATTCCTCCATATTCCTATAAGCGAACAGGGCCTAACTAAATTTATACATAAATACACTAACATTTATAATGTGTAATAAATATAATTAGATTGAGCATGTAATATATTTTTATAATAAACTTATTTAGAGATACAAATATTTATATTATTTTTTATATTTTTAGTTGAACTTGAAAAATATTTAACTTCTCAATAAACGGGATGTGTATTTTATTTTGGAACAGAGGGTGCAACTTTAAAGACTGTCAGGGACGAAGCGAGTACCACTGGTGGTGACTAAATTTCTGGATCAGCAATAGTACTATTCCACAAATTTTTTGAAAGGAGAGAGCTTATATTAAGATGACAGGTAATCATGGTCTAAAGGTGCCGACGCACAGGCCGGGACACCTTAAGAAAGGCAACCCTTCCTACCAAAATATCCCAATTAATTGGACACTCCAAACGTGCTTCCACCGATGACCCAATCAGACATTGACGGAGCTCCTGCGAGCCATCAGCTCGTCCACTAACCGTCCAACATCATTGTAAGATGACCCACCCTTGCCACGGCGCGCCTGGCCTTCTCCCCGAGCTCCTTGTCCTTCTCCCGTATTGCCTCCGCGTCCTCGCCGTCGCCCATCACTCTCCCGATGGCCTCCGCGATCACCTTGCCGCCGATCACGCGCCGTGTCTCAAGCTTCGACGCATAGTCCGTAGACCCCACGCCGACACCAACCTTGAGTAGCTCCACCACCAGCTTCTCATTGTAGAACTGGTCGGCGAAGCGCGGCCACGTCACCATAGGCACGCAAGTAGGCAATCACTAGAATTACCATTCCATGTCTTGTGTAAACATACTTAAATTAGTATATATAGTTGACTAGCTTTATTTGTGGGCTATAATATAATAATGCTTGTGTCATGGGCTGGGCTTACTTGTATTCTTGTCGCTTGGGCTCTTTAAAATATTTAGATTATCCTATTATAAGTGTTCGATAATTTGCGTTCAATTATCGAATAATCCATATCCGTCGGATTTCGCCAATTTCATATCCCAGACCGCATCAGCATATAATCGGATTCGAATTATCCGCATCCGCACGGATATTAAAAACACTTCTCCATATTCTTAAAATTTGGATTCGGAGCGGAGGATTATCCATACCACTTTCATTCCTAACCATAACCCGACAAAATCTTGTGTTCGTACAAAGACAATTAATAATTTACTACTATTTCTATAGCTAGATAGGGATTTTTTTTACACAAAGATAAATAACAAATCATAAAAGTAATTATTATTTATACTAGTTGCTTGTACAAGTGCACCATCTAAGATCATTTTAAAATTTAGACAACCGAAATACAGAAGAAAAGAAGAAGTGTTACGATAATGGATAATTATGGCCTAAAGTTGGCGACGCACTCCAAACGTGCTTTCACCGATGACCCAGTCAGACATTGACGGAGCTCCTACGAGCCATCAGCTCGTCCACTAACCGTCCGACATCATCGTAAGATGACCCACCGTTGCCCACCGCACGCCTGGCCTTTTCCCCAAGCTCCTTGGCCTTCTCCCGTATTGCCTCGGCGTCCTCGCCGTCGCCCATCACTCTCCTGATGGCCTCCGCGATCACCTCGCCGCCGATCACGCGCCGGGTCTCCAGCTTCGACGCGTAGTCCGTGGAGCCCACGCCGACACCGACCTTGAGCAGTTCCACCACCAGCTTCTCGTTGTAGAACTGGTCGGCGTAGCGCGGCCACGTCACCATAGGCACGCCGGCGCTCACGGCCTCCAGCGTCGAGTTCCACCCGCAGTGCGTCACGAACCCACCCACTGCCGGGTGGGCCAGGATCAGCCTCTGCGGCGCCCAACCCCGGATGATGAAGCCGCGGTCGCCGCGCGCCATCAGCTCCGCGAACCCGTCGGGCATCCATTCCGACTCCTCGGTGTCCGCGCCGCCGCCGATGACCCAGACGAAGTTCTTGCCGGACATGTCGAGGCCGCGTGCCAGCTCGCGCAGCTCGGGCGGAAAGAAATGGGATAGCGTGCCGAAGGACACGTACACCACCGAGCCCTCCGGTTTGGTGTCGAGCCACTGCTGGCAGCCGTCCGCGTCCGGCGAGAGACCGTTGCTGGCGCCCCTCGTCGCCGCGTCCTTGCTGGCGAGCGCGACCGGCCCGACGAGCCATGCGCGGCGCCCGAGCGTCGTGGTGTAGTGCTTCAAGTAGTCCGGCTCCAGCTCGTGGAAGCTGTTGAACACCTCGCCGTAGCTCCTCTGGTCCGCGGCGTTTCCGCGCTGCATGAAGGCCCAGTGCTCCGGCCGCTTCTTGGGCTCAAACATTTGGCTGCGCCTCAGATCGACGCGGTGCGGCAGCCCCGGAAGCAGCACGAGTGCGTCGGGGTCGTCGGGGGCGGCCTCCACGGGGTTGTTGCGCACCGTAGTGTCGCTGCAGGCCCGCGAGAACAAGCTGCTGCCGAGGAACGCTATCCGTGGGACGCCGTACTCCGCGGCGGCGTCGGCGGACCAGTCGAAGAAGCTGTCGGTCACCACGGCGTCGGGGCGATTCTCCTCCAAGAACCGGTCGAACGGCTCGCGGAGTAACTGGACCGCGTGGAAGAACTTTTCGCGGTCCTCCATGGAATTGAGGGCCGGGCCGCACTCGACGCCAGGCGGCAGCCCGACGTCGGGGAAAGGCACGACGGTGATGTCGATGGCCAGGGCGCCCTCGGTGCCGCGGGAGGCGTCGTTGGCGCGGTCCACCGCCGAGCGGATGACTTGGGCGTTCACCGGGGTGGTGAGGATGGTGCACTTGACGCCTCGGGCGGCGAAGAGCGCGGCCATGTCGGCGATCGGGATTAGGTGCCCCGGCGCGAGGAACGGGAAGAAGAGGATGTGCAGCGGCTGCTGCTCATCTTTGATGGCCATGGCTGGCAGCGTGCCGGCGCCGGCGCAGCTGCGCTCTTGGGAAATTAGATCAGGTGGCAGCAAGGGCGCGTATTTTATTTTATTTTATTTTACAAGGAAGGGCGTTGCTAGACAGCGGAGTAGGAAGAAATCTGGATACTTTTGGCCTAAGATAGCCGTGTACTTGTATGATCCCCCACCTTGAACTTGAAGAAATGTTCAAGCACCTTGAACTTGAAGCGACTCTCGAAAAGTACCCGTCCGTTTCGTCATTGCTTACGTAACATGTCACCTCGAATTTTCCCGCAGAGACCTTCAGTTCCCGGCAACGAGTGTACGTGCATGGGGGCAGAAAGTAAGAGTGTACGTGCACGCGTGCCGGTGTGGCCGAGCGTTTCGTGAACCCGGAAAGTAGGCCCAATCTTACTACAGTAATCCTGCTACCAAAAGAGGGCCAGACAGCGTGATCACGTCGCCCGTTTTTCCCGGCCATCGGATCGGCCGCACGGACGACTCAGATCGTGCGAGTCTCAGTCTTTTTTCAAAAAAAACCCTCAAACTTTAGTTGAATCAACTCGCAGTACAAGCCTCCTCTCAGTTTTTTTCAAAGAAACCCTCGAACTTTACCAAAATTAGACCTGTATATCGCCGGACCCTCTCTATCCCGACGCGACAACGGCGACGGGCGCGACCAGGGTGCAGCAGCGTCGGCCGCCCTCCTCCTCCACCGCTGCTCTCCCTCACCTGCCTCTCACCTCCATCTCGCCTCCCCTTCCTCTCTCTCTCTCTCTCTCTCTCTCCCCTTCCCTCCTAATGCGGCGGCGGGAGCCAGGCGACGGCGCCCCTGCAGGCACTGCGCCGGCGCGAGTGGGGCCCAACGGCCCTTCTACCTGTCCCCCATCCTCCTCGATGTCGCCCCGCAAGAATCTGCTTTGGCTCACTTGCATCTACTAGTGCCCGCAAGTAAGAGTGTATGTGCATGTGTGCCGGTGTTGTCTTATAATCCGTACTTTTCGGCCTGTCTTTTTAGCCGGAATAGTATTTTTCTCTCACAACAGATCAGTCGTAACAGTGTTTTAGCTTATTTTTTCAGCGAAGCGAACGGAACCACTGTCACGCAAGTGAACGTGACTGCCCACAGCGCACTGAAGAGTCACCGCTGCCATGCGCCTTTCAGTACAATTCGATTAAGTCATAGAAGATCATATAAATATTTGAAAGAACATCTAAGACCGTGAGTTTTGGAGTATTGATGACATATAATTAAGCAACTAGATATGTTGAGTTTGGATAGGTAACAAATATGCAAAATTAAAAGATAACACGTGAGACCTCTCAATTCTTTTGACGCGGCGTTCGGATTGATCAAGGCTTACTTTCCTTTTATGATTTTGAATTTAAGTATAGGAAGCGCCGTAGTATAAAGAGGGACAGAAATTGCAAGCTTCTGGGGAACCATGTGCTCTCATCTCAAGACCAAAACCCCAAAAGCCAAAAGAAAGCCAGCACGATTCCTATTCTATCTTTTCTGGACTGCGCAGAAGTTCTGCGTCTAACCACGGAACCTCTTTGTGGTTAAGCGCAGAAGTTCGCAAAAGTTTTGTGACTTGTATGTTGGTGTGGAGTGGGAGGGAGTATTTTATACTTCCCTCTCTTCTTCCCCAATGGTTGCCTGCACATTTCAGACATCTCCTAACTCGTGAAACAACTCTATCTCCTCCATTGTTGGCCATCCAACCTCTCCCTAGAGTCCTTGGTGATTTCCCCTTGAGAGATTGGATTTAGGAGTGGATTAGAGAGCCCTTGAGCAAGAGCAATCAACTGAGAGTCTTGGTTCTCACTCTAGCTTGCACTTTGTGTTCGTTACTCTTGGAGGTTGGGCTCTTAGATGGCTAGAGGTTACCTAGGAGCTCCCAATCGGTTGTGGTTGAGCACCGGAAAGTTTATATTGCCCTTGTGAAGCTTAGTGGAAATCTCAAGCTCGATCTTTGTGATTCGCTTTAGAAGAGATAGGAGCTTGAAAAGACTCCAAGCCTTTGTGGCTCCCTCAACAATGAGGAAGTAGGCAAGCCTTTGTGGCTCCACTGAACCTCGGGGTTGTTTCAGCTACAGGTGCTTGGTGCAAAAGGATGCTGCAACCATATGGAAGCTGGGAAATTTACTTGATCTGGTTCTCTTCTCCGATCTCTAGTCATTTGTGAGCTTAAGCCATCTATGCATAACTTCGGTGTATTTGCACAGAACTTCTGCGGCCAAGTGTGGAAGTTTTTTTTTGAAAGGGTCAGCAGGGGAGTCCTCTACCTATTTTTTTTGTATTTTCATTATAAAGAATGGAGTACAATATTTACATGTTACAAGGCTCCTAGAGACAAAGCAAAAAAGATACAATTGCACGCGTGGAAGTTCTTGTGGAATACACACAAGTTCTACAGTCTGTTGATCATTGTTTTTCTAGATAAATTTTTGTAGGCCTATTCACTTCCTCTAGGCCATGCAACCATCCTTTCAATATTGCATATGATAAAGTCACTGATAATTACTCCCCCGTCCAATTTATTTGCACATTTACAGTTTGATTTTTGTCCCCTATTTAATGCACATATGGATAACAGGGCTAGATAGCCCACGGTGGGACCTACACCAAAAGCTACCTGCCAGGCTCTCACCTCATGCATGGCTCTTCTCATGCGGATGCCACGCACGAACTCTAAAGCCGTTCTAGATAAAAAAATTAGCCGCCTTATATACTCGTAAAAGAAAATTGGCGCACAACCTAAGATGCCTTTAAAGATGAGCATGCGCCTCTCAGCCCGGTGGCCCATCCCGAAGCATGGTTTTGGGTCTGGCCAAAAAATGGCACGACCCGGTATAGTGCGGGCCTGAGCCAGCCCGG